CTGTGTTCGTTGGGCCCCTGTAAACCGTCGTCTCAATTTCACCGTCGGGCGTTCTTTTGAAGAGGACATCAAGGAAAGGTAGCTGTTGCTCTTTTTCTTCTTCCCTCGTAAATTGTATGCTAGGAAATATTTCATTGAACAAGTTATAGAAGTTTTGCAGCACGCTCTTCTTGATGATAAAAAGTGTTTTCTCCGTAACGACGCCAAAACACGGGCTTCTGTTGGGTGAAGGCGGTGTTTCCTAGCTCTTGCAGGACTAGTTCTGCCACTAAACCGGAGATCGGGGATCCCATTGGAGTACCCTTGATCTGTTTGTAGGTTTCTCCGGCAAAAGTAAAGTATGTTTTTTGACAGAATTCGAATAATCTCATGATATGTTCAATTTTGAGTTGGTTTTGGACCTCATCAGATGCCTCTTGAAGTCTCTTATCCAAGATTTCGTGCGCCAGATTTGGCGGTATGGATTTCAACGACGATGTCACATCGAAAAAGACCATGATTTCGTCTGATTGAATCTTCGAGAGGATGGTTTACAGGAAGGCAACGAACAAAGTACAACTTCTCAGTTTTCACGCCAAACTCGTCTACTGTCGCAGACTGACATCTTCCGCAGTAGCCAATCGGCGCCCCCCACAAGACAATTATTGATTTTCTACGCGGTCAAATTTTTGTTTTGTACGCACGCCTTAACTACCCCCCATTTGTTGCTGCTCTCTATTTCTGACGATGCACTCTTGTAAGAGTCTGAAAGCTCAGAATAACAAAGAAATCGTTCCGGTGTCCGAATCTCTTCTTTAATTAAAAAACATATTAAACGACGGCTGCGATAAACCACTGAAATGACTTATAGTGCTGTCGATGCCTTGCCATTGCACGCCACTTTAAATTGTGTCTACGAACACGCATAAACGAAACATTTTCTTCCGCAGTGTTTAATAGCACAGAAAATTCCTTGGATCTCAATAAACGTTGGATATGGCCGGCATTTACCCACTATTTTGTTTAATATATTGTTTAGAACTGAACTCTTTTCCACTAAACAGCATTTGTCGCTTCAAGTTAATTCAATGAACAAAATAAAAAGAGCTCATATGCGCTAAACCACCCACTTGAATTTCGATCTTCACGTTTAATGAGATAGATAGTCTAGTCTATATATTTAGAAGTCAAGTTTGGCAAACATATGTATTCAGCGAATCATCATCATGCCAAAACATTTGCAGGATAATGAAAACTGTACAGTTGGCCAGGGTGAAATAGCGTAGTCCTATTACAAATCATCGTTTACACGTCGCCCGCATGGCGAAGTCGGCGTGTAGGGGTTCCTGTGTTGGGGGAGGGGGAAGGGGATAGGGGAGGTAATTGGGTTAGGTTGTGGGGGTTGATTAGAAGGCAGATACATGGAGGGATAATTTCTGCTATTTGCGCGCAGCGAACGACTGT